ATCATTCTACTGACATTCCTACACCAGCACTTACTAGAATTACAACACCATAAATAATCATAAATAGCTTGAAAGACACAAAACCCCTTCATTCATTCTATGGACTTAGGACCCAGTGCCACAGATGGTCATTAGTAATTTTCTAGACACACTGTGGACACATATTGTCCATTTGTCTTTGAAAACTGCCATCTCCTCTTCGAATTCTGGCTCCTCATTTCACTGCACCTCACTCAAACGTCATATTGAAACACTAAACTTTACAAAAGTACATCTGCTTTCTGGTCTGCTCTTCAGTCTTACGATGCCATTTCAGTGTCTCCTCCTGTTCCACCAGTGAAGCCATTGTTCACTGTATCCCATACTGACGTGTGCCTTCATCATTCAGGCACAGAAAGCACCTCCTAAACTAGGCATAAGTCAGAGTTCTCTCCCTCATACAAAACACCCTGGTTTGTATGTGTTAGTGTATGCTTGTGTGACTGTATTGTCTAACACGCAAGCAATACGAATGAAGGAATGACACAAATATTTATCCTTCCTGCAGATATCACCTACCTCCATCATTCAAAGGTTTTGCAGCTAAGGACTGTTCATCTGTTCTTACGCATCATTTTCCACTACACCTCATCACCAGTGGGCTATCTAGCACTATGTATCACCAAGATGCAAAACATGTAATACTGTGTGTGCTGTAAGGTCCAATAGTACAGTTTATTGAATGTGAAACTATCCTATGCCATCTGATAGCAAAATTCACGTGACACAGAAAGGGAATATGCTTTTTTTATTTAGCAATTAAAAGGCATGTGATTTGGCAAAATTCACATCGTGTACTGCAAATGCCAATGGAACACATACAGCAGCAGTCTTGGTTTGGAAGACAAACCACTACAGCTTCACAAACAACACTTGGTTTTCACACTTCTAACAGTATCCATAAAACAACTAAAAGTCACTTTGAAAGACAAACAGAATGAGAGGTGTTCATTATATATGCTCTGTTGCCTGCTTTAGTGTACCACCATAAACTAGTAACTGTTGGGAAGCTGACACTACAAGAGTGTCACTACAACAGTAGCCTAGGACAGATTAACACAGGCTCTCTAACAGGAGTGGATTTAGAGATGTTGGGGATAAGGAGCCTATGTACAGCCTATGCTGTGAATCCTTCCTACAACCGTACACCTTTAAGCACTTTGAATTTTACTCTCTACAAGAAATGTAATTCACATCCTTAAACCATAACCACACATAATTAATTCCATATCAACTTATTGCTAAGTACTAAGGTGAGGTTACCAATTTATTCAAGGGAATTACAAAATAATTTATATGTCTTTAAATATTATAAATATTTATATTTATAAATATTATAAATGCTGGGCTATAACACATTTTGTTAATCTGCTGATCGTTGTTCCAGAACATATTCATATGAGTGCACCATTTAAGTTTTCGGCAGGCATAGAGACTACCTACCACTTTTTTTCCTTACATCATTTCTCTACATTCCTTTGGCAATGAATACAAATGCCTTTCTGCTTTTCAGGGTAATGCCCGCTCAATTTCTACACATTTTAGCTCTGGAAAACTTAAAAAGTTTTCAGCTGCATTTTCTTTTGGTAGTATCAGGACTACCTTTTTGGAAATCTAACATGGGATATGTTGAATAGTACTCCTGGTACTATGTGAGAAGGGATCTATAGGATTCTGGGAGAATGAAGAGATTCTGGAAGAATAGCTGGCAAATGAAGTTGCTAAGGCACTGTCCATCATATTTGAAAAATCATGGCAGTCAGGTGAAGTTCCCAATGACTGGAAAAAGGGAAATATAACCCCCATTTTCAACAAGGGGAAAATGGATGACCCAGGGAGCTACAGAGCAGTCAGTCTCATCTCTTTGCCTGGCAAAATCTTGGAGCAGATTCTCCTGGAAGGCATGCTAAGGCACATGAAAAACAAGGAGGTGCTTGGTGACAGCCAGCATGGCTTCACTAAGGGGAAATCCTGCCTGACCAATTTGGTGGCCTTCTATGAGGGGGCTGTGGAACTGATGGACAGGGGTAGAGCAGTTGACGTCATCTACCTGGACTTGTGCAAAGCCTTTGACACTGTCCCAAACAACATCCTTGTCTCTAAATTGGAAAGAGATCAATTTGATAGGTGGACCACTTGGTGGATAAAGAACTGGCTGGATGGCCGCATGCAAAGAGTTGTGGTCAATGGCTCAATGTCCAGCTGGAGACCAGTAACGAGTGGTGTCCCTCAGGGATCGGTGTTGGGACCGGTCTTGTTCAACATCTTCGTCACTGCCATGGACAGTGGGATTGAGTGCGCCCTCAGCAAGTTTGCCGATGACACCGAGCTGTGTGGTTCGGTTGATACCCTGGAGGGAAGGAATGCCATCCAGAGGGACCTTGACACACTTGTGAGGTGGGCTGATGCCAACCTCATGAAGTTTAACCATGACAAGTGCAAGGTCCTGCACCTGGGTGGGAGCAATCCCAGGCACAGCTACAGGTTGGGCAGAGAAGAGATTCAGAGCAGCCCTGCGGAGAAGGACTTGGGGGTGTTGGTTGATGAGAAAATGAACATAAGCCAGCAGAGCGCGCCTGCAGCCCAGAAAGCCAACCATATCCTGGGCTGCATCAAAAGGAGCGTGACCAGCAGGTCAAAGGTGATCCTGCCCCTCTGCTCTGCTCTTGTGAGACCTCACCTGGAGCATTGTGTGCAGTTCTGGTGTCCTCAACATAAAAAGGACATGGAACTGTTGGAACAAGTCCAGAGGAGGTGACGAGGATAATCAGGGGCTGGAGCACCTCCCATATGAAGATAGGCTGAGAAAGATGGGGCTGTTCAGCCTGGAGAAGAGAAGGCTGCGTGGAGACCTCATAGCAGCCTTCCAGTATCTGAAGGGGGCCTACAGGGATGCTGGGGAGGGACTCTTCATTAGGGACTGTAGTGACAGGACAAGGGGTAACGGGTTAAAACTTAAACAGGGGAGGTTTAGATTGGATATAAGGAAAAAATTCTTTCCTGTTAGGGTGGTGAGGCACTAGAATGGGTTACCCAGGGAGGTTGTGAATGATCCATCCCTGGCAGTTTTCAAGGCCAGGCTGGATGAAGCCTTGTGTGGCATGCTTTAGTGTGAGGTGTCCCTGCCCACGGCAGGGGGGTTGGAACTAGATGATCTTGAGGTCCTTTCCAACCCTAACTATTCTATGATTATTACTTTCCATGTGTAGAAGACTTTCCTTTTAAAATACCACTTCAGATCATGCCTGAGGGTGGTAGTGATCAAAGCACTGATGCTGAAAACTTATAGGATCAGCCCCTACTCAGTACTAAGCCTCCTTGTGCGAGAAACAGATGCTGCTAATGAGGGTAACAGACCAGACTGGGACTAAAAGCTGTTATTTCCCCACAGCTCCTTGGTACCCCATGAGAAAGCGAGATGACAGGTATACTGGTGGAATGCGCAAATCAAGAGCAGGTATTGCATCCCTGACTTAACTACTCTCAAGATGCTTTTGAGAGAACATGAACCAGCAACTTTATTCTCAACATGCACATGCTTCATAAAAGAAGTGGCAGATACAGTCCTGGTACCAAATTCCATTTGATATTTTTATTCCTCTTTCCAAGGTATGTGTATGTGTCCATCCTTCTTCCTCTTGTTCCTTTTGAACCCACTGACCACTTTCAAGCAAATTTAACTGAAATAAGAGACTAAGTTCCCACAAGCTTAATGATATTTTTATTGACTCTCAGTGAAATGAGGGTGCAGCATAATTTAAAGGTTTGGTTTGTTTTTTGTTTTTTTTTTTTTTTTTATATTACAAGATTCATATGGGAATGGTGGAGAAATATGAATGCCCTAATTGTGAGAAAAGGAGAAAAGCTTCAGCTGTCACTTGTACAGAACTTCTTAATGGAAAATCCAGAAGCAAACAGAAAACAGGGATCTAGGTTCCACCAGTTCCAATCCTATGCGACCATGCGCTTCCATGTTCACCAGGCTGGGACACTCCCTCCAGTCCCAATGCTGCCAGGTCTTTTCACACTTTTTTCATCACTATTTTGATCATCTTCTAACTTTGTGTCATTTGTAAAGAGACATGTACTGACATTGTCACTGTCACACAGAATGAATAGAACTGGAACCAACTGTGAATTTTATCACCCTTATCTCTTGCTTCTCACTTAGAGCCTGCTAAGGTGCTGCCCCAAGCTCCTGATCAGGTGCTGTTTAATTGTAATGAATGTTGTGTTCAGAAGGTAACCTGAGGTTCACATGGCTAAGGTTACAGCTTGTAATCGCTGCTGCAGTCAGGCAGTGCTTGGCAAGTCAAATGCTCAGAATAACTTCACTGTCACTTCTGATCTTTTACACCTGATAAAACTGAAGCTTAAGTACAGTATGAGGTGATCCACAGGAGCAACATACTACTGGTTTGCTGCACCTACCAGCTGCAGCCAGAACTTGGGCTTTCTACATCACCCTTTTCCAAAGAACTTCATTTGATGAATTTATCAGAATGAGTGGTTTATACATCTGAATCATCTTCTGAACTGATGTTTGTTTTCAGCCTTTTTTACACTGTTATCCAGTTAGATGAGAAAAAGGATTAAAACTCTCCAATCCGTATCTGTACTAAAGAAATAGAAAGGGGAGCAGAACTATCTGGCACTATTTTGCAAGACCAGACTCTTCCTAGGATACACATGACAGTGCTGGGTTAACAGTTGGACTTGATGATCTTAAGGGTCTTTTCCAACCTAAATGATTCTGTGCTATCACATTTCAAGACACATGGTTTCAGTGTCCCTTGATCTGCTTTTGAAATAATCACTGCTAGTGAAAATGGCCTGCTAATCCACAACTGGAAATCCACAACAAGAAGGACTGGAATTCCTCATTAAAATACAAGACTTAAGTTAGGCAAAAAGTGATAAAACAATTTGTCACCTCAACAACAGTCTGCTGCCTCTGGAATTGTTCTCTAAGCCAAAACCAAGGGCACTTCCTATTTATGGGTATAGTGAGCAACAGCCACCAATGAATCAGTGTGCATCTGGCAAAGCACAGGCCCAGGAGAGCACCATCACTCACTATTTCCTGCTTAAAAAGAAATGTGTCATCTGTAGAATGCTTCAGTTTTGAAAAATGCTTCCATATCCCTCCTCATGGATCTGGTAGCTGTGATTGCTGGAGGTGCAGAGGCTGCAGTAAGGAACTGAATCCTCACTATAGCCAACACAAGCTGTAAATTACTGAAATTGCACATCTGAATTTACTCATACCTCTTATAAACTTTCTGAATATGACTCCTGGAAAGTAACATTTAATAACTACTACCTCTAGTAAATTCTGTTTGTGTGCTAGCAAGAATTATTACAGTGCCTCAGCAAAATACAGTGTTAAGATGGTGTTTCACTGCTGAATGCGTTACTTGGACAATCATCTTTCTGAGTATTCGTACCCCATCTTGTGACCCACAGAGGAAGTGCAGGAGCGACCAAACCGCTTCTCGCTTGTTGTACCTCGAGGACACCTAACAACAGTTCTCCCCCTAACGCAGGCTGTAGCTTCTGTATTTTTGAAAGTAAAGATTAAAAAGTATTTTAGCAGCCGGCCAAATTTGAAAAAGGCTTACCTGCACGAGGATGAAAATTGCATTTGGGTTCACCTTTTAGTTGATGAGGCATCATTATTTAGTTTGACATACAAAGTATCTGCATTATCCAGACAGGTGCTGGATCGCTGCTCCTTGCTCTCATCATCAAAACCAAGGGTCCATGATCCCTTCTTGCATTTGTGATAAAAATCTTAACCTGTGAAGTACCACACACATTGTAACATCATCATTCAAACTCTCTACACCTTTACAAAATTAAGAACTCACCAAAGTTCCATTATTTCTAAAATGTCTCAAAAGAAAACAAAAGCTTACTTACAAAGAAAGACAGATAGGAATACTTTGTGCGTTCACACATTTTTAAGGTATCTCTCACCCACTGATCTTGTAAAAATTAAGAGACAAAGAAAACAGATCTATGTTTGAAGTTTATTTTTAAACAGCATTTCCCTCCCTGAGCTTGTATTAGTCCTGATGTCTCCGATTCTGCAGACATACTAACTAACTGCAGGCTCACCCCTCCTCCTCTGAAAGACTGATGTGCCTTCTAGCCCCTGTGTGTCCCCAGAACATTAAAAAAAGTCCATCAGGAATATAACCAGAAAAGACATTTCAATCAAGTAACAACACACTAACATAGTACTTCCATGTCATGTCCCTTCTGCAACAGAACAGGATAAAACCTAAACACAGTGGCAAAGAGAAAAGTACAAATTTTGCCCAAACCACACAATTCACAATACAGCATCATCAATGAGCTAGAGGATTATTTCACCCAGCTGCAATGGCCAGTAACTTGAAAACAAGAATCACTTCCAAGGGTGGCCACTGGAACAGAGACTCTTCTCCTTCCCAGCAAGGAACAGTCCAAACTCATCACTTGAGGAGCTCATCAGGATTGCGGGGAATGATGAAGAAAGTGCTTCAGCAGTTGCTCCCCAATCAAAGAGAATTGTCATCTGTGAAGGAATGCTATCAGCAAGGCAATTAAAACTCCAGTTGTGTTGCTCAATCATCTACTTAAATAGGCTACAAAAAATACAATTAAAAGCTGTCAGTGCCAAGGAGAAAGCCACTCTTGCAATTCAGAGGCTAACAAGAGCTCTGGATAAACTGCACATCCATATTTACATATATATATATATATACACATGGATACATGTACCTTCCTAAGCACTGCAGCAGCCACACTGGTTAACCTGGTTTGGTTACACTTGGCGTTTGCGATTTACCTGGTGTTGTACTACTCAACACCACACAACAGCCTGGGCAACTGCTGCAAAGTTCTGTTAATGTGTTATCACTAGTCCCAATCTTCTCACTCATTTCCAGTGCAAGCTACTTATGAGAAATGACATGGGAGCAGCCACAAGGGCAACGGCAACAGCCCAAAGGGGATCCAAAGCCCCTAGGGCTAAGTAATGGTGCTAACGAGAGCCAGGACTAGGGGCTGTCTAAACGACAGACCAGCGCCTGAGCGACCGCAGGCTGCAGGACACACACACCCCAGCCTGGCAACTCGAGGCCACCCAGGATGGGCCGCGCAGCCCCTTCCGGAGAGAACGAGACCAGGTCATGGGCCTTAGGGCTGCTGCACCAGCAGCACAGCAGAAGAACACCCCCTGAGCGGCAGGACCCGCACCCCTCAGGGCCGCCGCACCCCTCAGGGCCGCCAGGGGCGCCATTACAAGGCCCTCTACGCCGACGCCTGTGATAAATGGCGGAGGAGGCGGAGACCTTTCCACTGCTGCCCAGTGAGGGCCTAAAGCCCCGTGGGGGGCGGTGCCCCACGGCACCAACCCCAATGGGCGTCAGAGGCCGCGGATGACGGACGGGCTGCCCCCTCCGCCCAGAGCCTCTAGTGGGCGGGTCTTGGTGCCCGTCAGCCAATGGGGCGTGCGGCGCGGGGCGCGTCGCGCCTTCCCGTGGTGCCGCGCGGCGAGCGGCGGCAGGAGCGGTCGCGACTCCATCCGGGTCCCCGCGCTGCTCCGGGTCACCCTGCGGCAGGTAACGGGGCGGTGGCCGCGGGCGCGGTCCTCGTGGGGCGCTACTATCGCCCGCGGGCCGGGCGGCGAGCCGGGGGCACTCCGCGGGGAATGCCTGCAGGGGCCTGGGTGTGGGGCTTCGGGGAGCTGGCGGGCGGGTGGAACAGACGGATGGGCCTGAGCCCGACCCCCCCCCCCAGCCGCGGGCTGGCGCGCGCGCTCCTCAGGTCGGCCCCTCCACTTGGTGTCCACGCTCCACGCGGGGGAGTTGTCCCCGGCGGGGGGAGCGGCCTGGGCCGCGGGCGGGGGCCGCCGGCCCGGTGAGAGGCGGGGTCGTGGCGGCTGCTGCCGGGCGGGGCCTCCTGCTGCCCCCCACCCCCTCGGGCTCCCCGGTTATTGTGATTTTCCTCATCGAGGCCTTTCCCCCGCCCCCCCCCCCTTCTGTCTGCTCCAGACTAACTTGCGGGCCCGGAAGTGCCGCCCCCGGGCGCTCCGCAGTGGTGCCTTGGCTCCGCCGCTCTCCGGGGATAGGCAGCGGATTCCGTCAGTGCCTGGGTACGTCACTTCCGCTATCAAGTGTGTGGGCAGGGGAGACCTTGGCCGCAGGGGGGAGCCCCCTCAAACCCCCAGCACCGGCGCCGGGGTGAGATCCGGGCCCGCCCTGCCCCGCGCTGGAGGTGCCGAGGCCGGGGGGCCCTGCGGGGGGCCCGCGGGGCGCGTGGGGGAGATTCACGTTCAGAACGAGGGGGCAGAAGTTGAGGAAATACTGGATGAAACGCAGCTCCTGCGGCGGCGGAACGTGCCGCTCTGCGCAGCGCAGGGAGGCACCAAGTGCAGTTATCCGCTGTTGCGTCTCAGTGTTGCTGCTTGCACAGGGTAGGACCAGTCCCTGGTGCGCAGTAATGTGTGTATGTGATTTTATTCTGTCACAATGCAGTCAGTGCTGGAGGGAGAGACTGCTCGGATTGTGTCTTCATGACTGGTAGGTGTGGAATCTCAACCTGGTGTTGAAGGGTATGGTAATCCTTACTTAAGGTTTTGTCTGTTCTGCATTGTGAATCTTTGTCTTGCTTTACATAGACCATTTTCTGGCCGTGATACAAGTCTCAGCTGGCATGGAAAAATTGATTGTTAAAAATGTACATAGAAATCTTGCAGAATGGTGTTTAATCAGAACAATGGGTCATATTTAATCTGTGGCAGAATTTTGCAGAAAATGAATCTGTCCCTTCAAAACCAGTATTTCTTTAATATTAAAGAAACAGGGCATCCTTTCTTAATTCTCGGAGCAGGTAAGCCAACACGGCTGCCAGGGGACTTCACCAAAACACACATGTATTGTGGTGGCTCCTCGTCAAATTTGTTATGTTCTGTTCACAGCAACACTCAGCTGTTAAACAGCCTGAACTCACCCAAGGAGTTATTTACAGTGGTTGTTCAGACTTGTTTCAAGACTTGTTCATTCCGGTATAGTTAACATGTGGTATCAGATGTAGTAGTATTATTTTGTATATAATAGTTGGCTGCATGAAGATGGGCTTACTAGATAGCAGTTTATCGTGGTATTTTTAATTTAAAATTGTTGTCATTTTTTTCACTGTTTCACCAAGTTATACTCTGTATATCTGAAGTGCAACTTCAATCCATATAGGTCATGCACATAGTTGTATGGTAAGACTGGAGAGTTGCCAAAAGGAAGCTTAGATAGAACATGGAATCACTTGTTTTCTTTCTCTGCTACTAAGAAGCTGGTTCCTTATTTCACTTTTCCTTTGATAAATGCCTTCTGTATTTTCCTCTGTTGTCAGTAGTGGAAAACATCAGTTCATTTGCAAAATAGTGAAAGGCTCCCAGGCCTTGTAAATTGCATTAGATCTTATGTTGGGAATTAATAATGTAACAACATACTTGAAAATGTTCTCGTGCACCAACTTCATTATTTGTTCAATTTGTGTAATTATTAACATGCAAACTTTATGCTGGAGAAGCTAGCGCTCTTACTAGTGGCATGATCTAAAAGATACAAATCTAGTGATTAAATACAGAGTTTTATACTTAGAAGTAAGTATGCATTCCTGTTTGAAGCAGGAATAAATAACCAAATTATGGTTTCCTCTTCAGAAGTGTGTTGAGGCCTTTGTATCATCTGAAGCTGTAGCTAAACTGAAATGTGCTCATATATATCTTCTGGAAGTGCACTGACAGATGTCAGATTCCCACAAATCCTTTTTGAATACACAACATTTTGATGTAGTACACTACTACAACGTTACTCCTTTACAAAGTTTTTACAGCATTAATCCTTACTACGTTACTCCTTTCACTGAGGTTTTTGCCAGCCTTTTACAGTACTGTAATGCATGCAGCACTTACACAGATAGTTTAATACCAATATTGTAAACTTGAGTGTGTGTGTGAGAAGACAGTAGGATTTGTATTACTTTGGTTCTTTGTTAATATTGGAGATCTCCACAGGAGATGTGCTTCATTCAGTTCATGAGTGGGCAGTAATAACTTCTGTTTTCTTTCAAGCCACTGTTTCTGGATACTTAAATTCTGTCTGTAACTGCATGATTAAAAAATAAGCCAAAATGAAATATACTAATTAAAAATGTTGTGAGCCAGTAGTATTTAATCTTACAATTACATAAAACCAGAATACTTTGTGTTAAAGCAGTTAATTGTAGATGGGATATAGATTTTTCTTTAAAAAATAATTAAAAATTCCTATTTCTCATTGAGGCACCAGATAAATACGTTATTGGTGACAATCAGTTGTATTAATCTTACAGTGTTGTGTGAAAAATGCCAAGAAATAGTGGACTCACCATAGTTGACTTGCATCCCTCTCAGGTGTGTGGACCTTGGTGCTGCTTGTGCTTCAAGGTGAAGCACATTCATATAGCGTTGAGTGTTGAAGCTGCTTGTGTTCCTTTTCTTCTCTTTGTAAAATTTGCCACTTCATAACAGTGTTCTGGTGTGATTCACACTTACTCCAAGTGTACTGTTGCTAAATGGACTAGCGTGGCTGAGTAGAGGTATTGAAATTTAAGGTTTGGGACATGAAAAGGTGCCTGGACTTCACCTGGAAAGTGTTACATTCTGCTGAAAGGATTTTTGCTTTCTTGGTCAGTGCCTGTATTCAGTGCAGGTGAATTTGCTTTGCACAAAGTAAAAAAGAAACCAACCCCAAACCAAGAAATTGATTTGTTTAGTCTGATAATCAGTAAACTGATTTCTTTAGTCTTAATCTTCACACACGTTTTTAATTTACAGCTTTGACTTTTGTTTAATATTACCCACTGAATTTCTACAGCTGAACCGAAGCACTAGAGCAAGAGTCTTTTCAGATAACAAACTCTTCACAAATTTACAATTGCCAGATAATGCTTTCACAGAAGGATGTACTACAGCACTTTATACCTCAAGTTAACGTACATGCTTGTCTCCACACTGCATGTAGGAGGTGTCAGTAAAGCACAGTTTGTGTAGGAACATTCTTTTACAAGCACGCTTTCAGCTTCAGGAGGTTTCTTACATGCTGCAAAGTGGACATAATAACTGGGAGAATAAAATATTAGTCTTTTAGGATCACACTGAGAAGAAACAGGACTTCTGTTATTTCCGCACACACACATTTTGTTCCTTCAGCAGATAGCAAATAAAAATTGTAACTATTGAGGTTTTGTTTTTTTTTTTTCGATTTCGCAGGTTGGAGAATAGCTTAAAAGTGCTTATGTTCCATTGTGTGCTACTAAACAAGAACATGTACATTCTTGAGCCTTTTTCTCCTATGCAGTTTAGGATCATTTCAGGCAGGTAGCTCATGAAAAGCATGGAAAGCATACTTCAGAGTGATAGAGCATATTTAGATTCTGCTGCTGTCACTTCTCTTCAACACAAATTAGGAGCAAAGTTCTAGTCAGATAAGCACTTTATTAATACAAAGGAAGGTACAAAAACTAAATATAGAAGAGGAGAACATTTTAATTCACACTGAAACTTTTGTGACAGTAATTTGGAAAGAGGTGATGAGGTGTGCATGTAGTATGTGACAGATGGTGCAGGGGTAACTGGTGACGAGAAGCAACGTTAAGGATGATCAAGTTCACATCAGTCATGCTGCTTCCTTTTCCCCATCAAAGCCTAACAAAAAGCTCGAGTTTGTAAGTCTGCATGAAGTCACTGGAGTTAGTGCTGACTCGCGGCCTGGAGCTCCATCGTGTGGTGGAAGCTGTGTGCAGGCTGTGTCTCAGCCCTGGCCTACGCTGGACAGCTTCAGCGGAGAGGTTTGGCAGAGGATACGTGCCTCGTTGCCAGTGCTCTGTGAAAGTTACACAGTTCCACAACTGCAGTGTCCTTAGCTTTCACTTCTCTGGGGGTTTGAAACACGTGGGGACTGGAGAAATAGAACTTTGAACTCGGCTTTTACCATGGAAAACAAGTTAAACTTGTATTTCTTAAAAGCTTAAAGTTTCATCATAGTCTAGGTGTTTATTGCCGAAGGAGAAAATATGAACGTGGATAACCCAGGAACTTTTGTGCTGTACTAAGACATGGTATCTTCTGCATGGTGACTTCAGTAGCAGGGGTGTATGCAATAGCAGATTCACTTGAAGCTG